CAAGATTACAGCGTTTACTGGAGTTGGGTTTTTAAGATACATTTTTTACGGTGGCTGACCAGTAAAAACGCTCTACAACGGCATAAAACATTTCCATAGGAGAAACATCCTGTGTTTTATAACAGTGGCAAATATAAAAACAAAAATGTTCCTGTACACATGCAGAAACATTTCAGCAAACTTGGACAACTACTGCAGCATTTAGAAAAACATTCAGCAACTTGAGGAAAATGCGCAGCGTTTATTAAAAGCTGCAAAAACCAAACGCTGCAAATACAAAACGCTGTAAGAAGTCTCAAAACACAACGGAGACCAGTGGACTGTCATAGAAATATATTCTGCCTCATTTACTTACTTAAATGAATCATTATGTGATTCTTTATTTGCTAATGTTTAATCTATATTAAACTACTTGGTTTACACAATTTTAGTTGATAGGTAATTCGTTATTAATTCGGACAATGTGAAGGTTATCAATGATGTATATTTAGCATCTTTGATGCAGATTAACTGAGATTAATTTGGTAATGCATACAGCATAAAGACAACAATGTCTCTAGAATATAGTGAAAACGTACGGAGCCCCTAAGGGACATGAAAAAAAAAAAAAAAAAGAGAGAAAAAAAAGTCAGGATAACGAAAAAAAGTAAAAAAAATACAGGATAACGGGTTAGTATCTCGTGCGCACGAGATACTTTCTCGTGCGCACGAGATACTAACTCGTGCGCACGAGATACTAACCCGTTATCCTGACTTTTTTTGGGGGAGAAAGTTACCGGTGCGCCAAGGAGGAAGTGAAGCGCACAGGACACAACCATTTCATTGCAGACTGTTATGTTTACGTGGGGAAATGAAAGTGCATTATTTGAGATATATTTCGTACTCAGACTTCACTTTAAGGACATTTCGGCGAGGGGTGTGTGGTCACTCCAGGAGGCAGCGGGACGTGTAACTCAGAGAAGAGCAGCACCAGCGCTCAAAGAGCTTTTACGCACCGCCTTCTGTGTTTACCTTCATTGAACAGCTATAAAGAGTGACCACAGGCCGTTTTAACCACACACACCTCTACACACACACCGAACTGCCCGATTACTCCCCCTTTTATTAGTTTTATGGAGGAGATCGCCGGTCATCAGGACGCATGATGGGCGGACTGGGACTAAAAATCAGCCCGGGAATCTCACCCTGCCCGGCCGACGTAAACTGTCAACGGGGGTGGGGGGGCAGTCCGCCACTGGCTCTGTGTGTGTGTTCTGAGTGTTTGTTTCCCTATAAAAAAAGCTGTGGGGGAAGCAGGTACTCTGCGAGTCACGGACATTAATTCATAGATCAAAGCAGACTGGTTTACAAACTCTCCTGTTTTGCCAATCCGGTGCTTAAACCAATAGCTCGAAATGGCCGAAATGTCCATAAAATTAAGTCTGACTTCAACATATAGTCTATCTCAAATAATGTATGCTCTGTAATTTCCCCACGTAAACATAACAGTCTGCAAAGAAATGGTTGTCTAATGTGTGTTCCACTTCCTCCTTGGTGCATCGGTAAAAAAATAAAGTCAGAAAAACGGATTTGTTTCTCGTGCGCACGAGAAACAAATCCGTTTTCCTGACTTTATTTTTTTTCTCTCTCCATTTCTTTTTTTTTTCTTCCATGTCCCTTTAGGGGCTCCGTACAATTGGAACAATTTCACAGTCATTTTCTGTTGCATTGATTTATCATTTCAATATGTTGTTGTGTATCCAAGCTGCAGTCCAACATCTGTTGACAATGTTAATGTCACTCTACACTCTGTGCCTTTCTAAGAACAGTGAGGCCCTTTATCAAACATACAACAACAAGTTGAATTCTCTTCAGTTCATTATGCAGCACATACGACGTAACACACTTCTATTATTGACTGCGAGAACACGATGGTCCCTCCATCTTTGTCTTTTGTCCAAAGACAAACTTGAATCTTAGATGAGACCTGGCAGAGGCGTGGAGGGATAATGAAACTGAAGTATTGTTGTGTCTTGACGGTATTATAAGAATGTGATGTTGGGATTATGTTTGCCAAGATGACATTTCCTCTTATTGATAGGGTGAAGCCGGTGTAATTGCATCTCAGCGGAAGAGTTGCATGCTGAGTGATATGTGACACTGTTATAGGGATTACACACATGCATGTGCAGACAACTGATACCTCAATACGCCAACATGGTGGTCTCATTTTACTCTCTTATAAACAAAGTACACACACACAATCAATCTGCTAAAGCAGCCCTCTGAATAAACTCTAGGATTCGCTAACAGTGCAGATTATCTTGCTGTTAATGTCACACAGGCACATAGGGCAACAAACAGGTACCGTTATCTCTTTCCTATTGGCTGCTCTTCCTCTCGTTGACCTTCTGACATATTCCTAGTTCCGCACTTTCATTTTTCCCCCTCATTGCCTCTGTGCTGCTATTTTTTCCTCCACCTTGTTTGTCCCTCATTTCACCTTTGCTTCTCTTATTCCTCATGTCACGTCGTCCAAATCTATTTTCTCCATATGTCCATACATACAGTCAGTCAGTCAGTCTATACTCGTACTGTTTGCCCCCGTCGCCCTCATTCTTCCTCTCTACTTTGGTCTCTCCATGTCTACTTCCTCCACTAAGAGAGGCTGCTGTCCCGCCGGAGTACAGCACAGTGACCATCGATTCATCAAAGTGTCACAGCACGCCGCTGCAGCTCTGTATGCCCGCTACTAAACAACTGCCCTGGCAAAGAAAACAATAGCTCCCATGCACACACACACACACAAACACAGACACACACACACTGGATGGCTGCCCCAGGAATGCCAAACCTCTCCTTGTACATTTGGCGGTATGCACACCGGAGATGGTCGGTGCCAAACGGATGCTGCCAGTGGCACAGTGGGCTTAGAAGTGGACAACATATCTGTTCCACATATATCAAGCATAGTTAACATTCTAGTATGAGCCAATGAAAATAGTTGTCATACGCATGCTGGGGGATAAAATACGCCAACCACTTGAACAAGTTAGCGATATGCTTAACAGCTGAACCAGCATATTGCTTTTACTACCCCATATTCTTAATGGTTCACCTGAACAACTTGAGAAAACATGACCTTCTACTTTGCCGGGGGTCCGCTGAGCTAAAACAGCACGGCCAGCAGTCTCTTTATGGGGTCTTTATGATGTGTCACTGAGGTCAAGTGCAGGATGGGCTCTCCCCTCCAGATTTACACTGAGGGGCTTCACAGTGGGTCAACAGCTCCCAGCAGCTAATTTCATAATGCACCCTGGGCGAGGCTTAAATAATTAAACCGAGCTTCAAGTGAAAGATGCACTTTATCAAAGGCTCTGGGTTTCTAAAGAACAGAGAGAGTAGACTTACAGTACCTCGGTTCACCTTAACAGCTCTTGTACCTTATGGTAAGAATCTCTCTCGCTAAGTCCATGGAGAATAAGAGTAACTACAAAATCCAGCAAACATCACCAACATTAGTATCACAATCAAACTTGATGATGTTGGAAAACGGTCCTCAGTTTGCTACAAAAGCGCGTTCTTAAGTGAGGTTTGATGTGTCTGTTTTGGTTTCCAATTCTGTTCTGACCATCTATTTTTCAGCATGGATACATTCTTTGTGGCTGCAGCCAAAACAGCAAGCTCTCTGAAAGCCCTCTTTCCGCCTTTTATCCCAGATCGTGTGCGTCAATATCAATTTAAGAGTCGGTCACTTGGCACAGATGCTCACACTTGAAAGTAACATTCGCTAGAGTTCTGGCACACTCAGTAGACTTATCCTCTGTCGTGATTTTTTCGCTTAATTGTGCTCATAAAACAAGGAGCCGCTTTCCTGCATGGTTGATCACCTGTCATATATCAGGAGGCACAGCGTCTTCTGTCACCTAGCAAACCGTGCACTTTGATCATGTGAAACGCTTTTCATTCGTTGCAAAACGTCCTCTTTAGTCGTTCTTTCTGTAGTTCCATTTCAGATATTAATACTGAGGAATAGACTCTAAACATACAGTATCTAACATGGAAAAAGGCTCAAGAAGAATAGTTTTTCTTCGAGCACTTCTACTCCATCCTGGAACTGGTTAATAACAATTCAGTTGGCTTCACATCCATTTTATTTTTACCTTAGTTCATCCCAGCCCACACACCCTAACTCATTGTCTATCTATGCAGAAGAGCTTAACAGTGAACTCTGACCCCTATCGACTCTGGGATGCGGCTGCTATATGAGCCATTGATTAGCATTTGTTTGAGGCCATAATGGAGGAGATGATGAGAGGATTATTGACCATGCTGTAGATATGAAAGTCAGGCTGGAAACGTGGGTATGGATGTTTTACTTGGATAATGGTATTGAACTATGGTAATTGGGAGGTTGGTTGCTCACTTGCTGGGGCTATTTAAAAGAAATAAGGAAAAATCAGATGGAAATTGCTCTCGCTTTGATCATTTTTCTTTCTTCTCGTTACTGCTTAAAGATGAGGACTGAGAGAAGACTAGAGGAAGAGTGAGCTATAATGCTCAGTTATTTTCAGCCTTCTATACAGTATATAGGTCATATTTAGTTAGCCTACTGTGAATGCCAAGGCACACNTCTGTGTTTACCTTCATTGAACAGCTATAAAGAGTGACCACAGGCCGTTTTAACCACACACACCTCTACACACACACCTCTACACACACACCGAACTGCCCGATGGCAGTTCGGTGTGTGTGTAGAGGTGTGTGTGTAGAGGTGTGTGTGGTTAAAACGGCCTGTGGTCACTCTTTATAGCTGTTCAATGAAGGTAAACACAGAAGGCGGTGCGTAAAAGCTCTTTGAGTGCTGGTGCTGCTCTTCTCTGAGTTACACGTCCCGCTGCCTCCTGGAGTGACCACACACCCCTGGCCGAAATGTCCTTAAAGTGAAGTCTGAGTACGAAATATATCTCAAATAATGCACTGTCATTTCCCCAAGTAAACATAACAGTCTACAATGAAATGGTTGTGTCCTGTGCGCTTCACTTCCTCCTTGGCGCACCGGTAACTTTCTCCCCAAAAAAAGGTCAGGATAACGGGTTAGTATCTCGTGCGCACGAGATACTTTCTCGTGCGCACGAGATCACACACCGTGCGCACAAGATACTAACCCGTTATCCTGACTTTTTTTTTTCTCTCTCTGTTTTTTTTTCTTTTTTTTTCATGTCCCTTTAGGGGCTCCGTACAATTGTAGCAACAGCCTGCAAAGTATTTTTTTGGGAAACCTCAGTCTCAGTATCACAAACTCCCTCATCAAATAGATAGTTCTGCTCATTCCTTATTCTCAAGAGAAACCATAAAGCCTCCATACATGTGGTATATCAGGGGCTACATCCATACAAGATGAGCATAGCCTCAGATCAAACACTGAATATTCATCAACCAAATAAGTGCGTCCCCTAAGGTTTATCGAGTAACAAAGCTATCAACTATTGCATATATATCTACCATATGAATAACTTTAAACAACACAATGTTGTGTGTGTGTGTGTGTGTGTGTGTGTGTGTGTGTGTGTGTGTGTGTGTGTGTGCGTGTACCCGTAACTGCCTCCCTGCTGGGAAGATAATCCCTTCCGCCCCATAGATCCTTTCAGCACCACTATTTGTCTCTTGACGTGTCAGCGCATATGCACGCCTTGACCGCATCATATCCGTATTAACCTCTAGATGGCCGCCATTAAAATGGAAATGGATGAGCTCAGCGATCCCGCTCGCCTCCATACATTAGACTAATGACCGGGCCAAGAAGACACAGTCTGCCATTACAGACAAGCCAAATGCAGTGGAAGGCACTAGTGATAGGCCTGCTTCCACTTAGCCCACTGGGCTGAATGGTAAATGCTGTTTCCTTGAAAGGGCAGAAAAATGGAGCTTGCATTTCAATAATGGGGAACAATCTACACTAGGAATAACTTCCTGCCACATGAATCTGTGAATAAAAACAATTCTCTCTGTAAACTCGAACAGTAGAAGCTCCATTCGCAGGGAGTTGTTTTAGGAACCTGCCCTGCCCACTGCTCTTATTACTAGCGAGGGTATGGAGAAGACACTCAAGCAAGCACATATAGGTGTGCATTTTGGGAATACCTCCCGCTCTGGAATGCCTTTCAGGGGTCTCTTCACTCTTATGGAAGCACATTCAAAAAAATAAGGCACATTGTGGTAAATTTGGAAGGTTTTCGGTTTGAAAACACAACAAGTTTGCCCCTCCTATCAGGTTCAACGAGGGTAACAGTGTTTGCCAGCAGGCCAATTTGAGCCAACTCCAGTTTGACTTTTATTGGGGCTGTAGCTTCCTCTTGGATGCATACTTATGATCTGGCACATCTTGCTTTGTTTTATCGAGGATTGCGCCCAGAAACTTACTGGACGGAGCAAAGTTTAGGGTGAAGAGAAATATGCAGCAGAAGGCTGGACACCGCCACTTCTCTAAAATTCATAAGGATTCTTTTGATATTCCTTAAAACCTATATTCACAAACCAAAACACATTGTCACAACATGCTGTAGGGAGAAATGTGTTGGAAATAAACAACCCCCATGATACAAGTAGATGCACGCATGCAGAAGCTAACATTTGCACGAGTGCTTGCATACATTTTTGACCGTTTTCAGGGCCGGCAAAAAATAGGCACAATGGAGCATGTGTTCTCTCAGAAAGGGAGGAAGAGAAGAGGAGAGTCAGGCAGTTCCTTCCAGCTGGGCCATATTTAACCAGCGGTATCATCATGCCAGCCAAAAGAGCTTCAACAATGTCACCCGCCCTATAAAGCCACCAATACACTTATACACCATTTTCGCCAATCCCTTAAACTGAACAAGTACTATCCCTTTTAAATAAATATCAACAGCTTTTAGGAGTGTATTCTTCATCATGTTATTTACCTGAATACATGCTCAACAGTTAATAGCCTCATGGCATGTTTGGGTTGCTGTGAGCAACACACCTCCTCAGCAACCAAAGCACCAAGGCTTCAAGCTAATCAATAAGAAATAGCCCATTGAGAGTCAAAGACACGCTACGGTTCATGTTCTTCCCTTTCAGACAGACCCCTGTCTTTGTGGGGGAGTTTATTCAGCACTGATACAAATGGGCCTCCCACACAAAACACTGTGAGGCTTGATGCCGGGAGAAATGTACATCTCTGTTTCTCTGTGTGTTTTTACGTTTGGATTTGTAATAAAGCTATTGCATTTGCCATGCTTCTTTCTCTGCTCTGGCTTCACCTCACCTGGACAAACCCAGGTAGAAAAGACTCATCAGGGAGCGGGCCACTAAGAGCTTTTTAATTTTGGAATGATTTTAAGCAATGTGTTTTTCTTTGATATACTTTGTTTCTGCTACATGTTCTAAGTGAGTGGGTGGATATGCCACAAAGCTGATTAATTGCCATTGCTTTCTATGTTCTTAAAATAACCTTCTTGTGTTTGTGTTTTTAGCTGGTTGTCTCTGGGTTTTAATTGTGCTGCCTTCATTCAAAGTTGTTTTAATCATGTCAAGTTTATAAAGCTTTTCATCTTGTTTGTGTTGCTGGTAGATCTTATGGGATGCCCGCTAAATGAGTGTGGCCTCTTGCAGTGAGGCCCAATAATGAGAAGGGTCTGCTAACTAGCCCATTGCAATCTGTGGCCTAGACAACACATATACATATGAATTATAAATATACATGTATTTTAACTGTTCAAAGAGTTTAATTCGCTGCCTCTGTCACAGAAGCTGGATGTTGTTCCCATGACAACAAGAAAACAGGAGAACAAGTAAGAAGAGCGATCATTTTCCTCTATTATTTCTTGAGTCCGCCTTAACACAAAATCTCACGCTTACAAACACCCACACTGGCATGCACACGCATTATACATAATTGTTAACAAACACACACTCACACACGCCTCAAATCACTTTCAATTTTTTCTCTTCCATTCTCTGTAGTAGTTTTTTGAAAAAACACAATTGCGCGTGACACTAATGTGTGAAACCGTGAAGGTCAATTATCACCTCATTCTCATTCTGCTCACATCTGACAGCCGAGCTCTTTGAGTTACGGAAAACGGAACCCATGCCGAGCAGCCAAAGTTGATTACATGCTGCCGTGTATTTGCACCTAAATCGCAGCAGAAATCAGCGAAAATGACACTTTCTGGACTCTGTGATCAATAGCATCCAAAAGGGGGTGGGGTAATGCAATCATGGATGTGTTAAAAGTATAACATCATCCAGGACAACCATGTGATGGGTGTTAGTGATTTCTTGAACATTGGGTCCCCTCTGAGTAGTGTATATTAAATAAACCCAGAGTAGAACAGTGATCCTTAGGTCAGGTCATGACTGTCCCAGCAGGACTATTCCATCTATCACGAGCAGCAGCTGATCCATCAGCCGCACTTCAACTCATACTTTAGCCTTTCAACTCGGACCCTAACTGCCCCCCAGGAAGGCTCAACTGTCAGCTGGAGAGCAGAAGAATAATGTATGGGCTGCATGGATCCCGCTCAAATGGATGAGAATGTTTTTCTCTGCATATTACATTTCCACACTGAATTAGATTGGGAATTGATGCATTGGCAATATGTGTGTAAATTAAATCAAAGGTATTAAGATTGCGAGGAGAACAAATTATTTAGATTGGCAACCACGTCTTCAAATGCAAAATTTAATCTTTTCCACTAATGTGTTTTATTCACATGGTTGCAGCAAATTTGCACAAAAAAGTAGTCTTAGATGGCAATAGTTAAGTCTGTTTGCTCCTTATGATGTCTCTGTGGGTTCGCAAACTTCTAACACGACATTGCATCGATGGATAATTCTATCCATGTATTGTGGTTGAACTGGCAACGACAGCAACATCATGGCTGTTTATCCCCTGTTTCAAGTCTTCATGGTAAAACTCTCTTCCACTTGAAGCCTTATATTTACCGCACAGATGTTGTGAATCTTGTCAGGAAGGCAAGAAACCACATATTATGTATTTCTCAAAATGTCAAAAGGTGGCTTTGAAAGTTTTACATGTGCGGATTTAGAGTAAAAGTAAGGAGCAACATAATAGCTTCTAGTTGTTTCAATAAAACCGACTTCCTGCTTTTGTGAATTTGTAGGCGTCTAGACTGACACTTTCGTAAAATTGAATTTCATAAAAACTCTTCTAAATCGGGCTGTTATTGTACTTTAAATTATGCTTTAGATTCTAAAATGGGTGCTTACAAGCATAGAAAAGCAGGCACACACACACACACACACACACACACACACACACACTCACTCACATGCAGACCAAGGCATACACACAGAGTGATTTACAGAGTGACTTCACCTCTGCAATGTCTTACAATGTAGTAGTCACACACACACACACTCCACATGATGACACTGCCTCTTTCCGAGCAAAAAGAACACTGACAGATTTCCTATATATCGAGCAGAGAGGGGAGCTGTACGGAGAAAGAAGAAAGACAAGGACAAGATACCTCCTGCCGGGCATCTAATCTCCAATCTCTGGGATCACTGATATCTGATAAGAACATTGTAAATCAGGAAGCTAGAGAAACCCCTGCCTGAGCTCCGTGTCTGTACAAGACAGACATCTACATCTGTCTATCACATTGTTGGGATTTACAGTAGCTGGAGCGAATCCCTATTATTATTATATGCCTGCTAACGGGAAGAGGAGAATCTGAATCAAGATTGAGACTTCTCCCACACATAGCTCAGGGAATGTATGTGGATATTTGTTTTACCTTTAGTGAGAGATTTATTGAACATGTATGTTCTCTTCCTGATATGTCTTGGCTTGCGGCAAAGTACATATTTACATTTGGGAGCAGCTGCTACAACCACCACACCTTTCTACTGTCTCCTACTGGGAGATGTGGGTAGGAAAATGCAAACCCTACATCTCCTCGAGCAAAGCACTTTGCCATAACTCCTCCATCAACCCCCCATTGCCTTAATGGAGCTGAGCTGCTACAATGTGAACAGTACAGCTCACAGGCGTGTGTGTGAATGGGAAGCATAGGCACTGCCAGAAAACAGCTAGATTTATATTCCCTGGATAAGTAAAGCAGCCAAAATATACATTTATTAATTTAACGCCACACTCCGGGACATGCTGAAAGTGATATTTGAAGGAAACAAGTATTTGTTTTCGCCAGGTTTCTCTTTGCCTGTGTCAAATTTGAACTATTGACTGCAGCGAGAGCCACCAGATGAATGAATGTCTTGGTTTGAATGTGTATGCATCATATTGGAATACTTAATCAAACTATTTCACAACGGCAATACCATCAAGCGTGATAGTTTAATGGATGATAGAGGCAATAGAATTGTATTGAAAATGAATTGGATGTTCCTCACCATCTCATTAAGTGCCACTTTAATCAAGAAATTCGGCAAACGCCCATCTGGCTATGAGCTCATAAGGTGTAATGGCCCGGTTTGTGTTGGGAGTACGTGTGTGTGTGTGTGTGTGTGTGTGTGTGTGTGTGTGGGTGTGTGTGGCTGTGTGCGTGTGTGTACACATGCATGGCTGTGCCTTTACTTACATATAATATGTAGCTATCTAAGTAAATGTCGGGGNCAAACGCCCATCTGGCTATGAGCTCATAAGGTGTAATGGCCCGGTTTGTGTTGGGAGTACGTGTGTGTGTGTGTGTGTGTGTGTGTGTGTGTGTGTGTGTGTGTGTGTGTGTGTGTGTGTGTGTGTGTGTGTGTGTGTGTGTGTGTGTGTGTGTTAGGCTGAAGTATGCCTTTCAGATTTTATTTTTTGGGGATTCTGCATGAATTTGTGACTGGGTGTGTGTGTGAGTCACTGTGTGGCTGTGATCGGTGTGACGAAGCACAGTGACAGAGCTCTGGCCATCTGGAGAGACATGACAGTGTGAATCACCAGAGAGGAGGATGGATGCAGAAAGGGGGGAGGAGAGAAGGAGAAGGAGAAGGTGCGAGGGAGAGACAGAGAGAGAGATGAGGATGATACATCAGCCGGCAGGTGAAATAAGGGAGCTGATAATGACGGAGAAATGTCGTCCTGTAAAATCTGGACACACTCACATCCTTTCTCTCAGTGGCCCTTTTTTTTAGCTAATGACCTGCTTGTCAACACTTTAGTCTAATCATCCTAGTGAATAGGGGGTGGCAGATCAAATACACACAAGCTTACTTACACGCTGTTAGTTATTGAAATAGGAGCCTGCTTGATGCCTGATAAGAAGATGAGAGTTTTAAATAGATAATTTACTAAAGAAAGGAGATCACCCAGCACTCAAAAGGCGCAGAAACATAGGGCTTGGATTATCACTCAGCTGGTGTAAGCTTATCACCCCTCTACTCCAACACTCGTCTCCCCTCTCTGCCTCTCGTTTCCTCTCACTGCTGTTTATCCCTCCCAGTGCCACCTCTTCATGATTTCCATCTTTATCTTGACCAATACTTTACTTCCCACTCCAAACCATTTGTATCCTCTTTGGCTCAAGCAGGAAACCTGGCAGTTCACTTATACTCATTTGCATTCTCAGAGATTTCTCCGTTTTGAGTAAATATATAACGTCATCTGTTGTTCAGCTCTAATTCCTCCCTTTATTGCTCAACAACAGTGAATGTAGAGAGCAGATGGGATGCAACAGAGCGTGCAGGTAGTGGAGGATTTGAGGTTGAGAATATAAGCAGACAGGTGGGAGATGAATGAGAAGCAAAGGGAATCAAGATGCCCAAATATTCACGATCAAACACATATGGGAAGACATATTGGGTTTGCTGACTTACTGGGAGTCAATACAAAATGTTCCGCCCTGTGATTGGGAATATGTTCATAAGAACCCTGAAACATCTCTAGTGTTTCCGCACATCTTAGCCAACAATGATCAAGTAGGCAACACAGGGCGTCCATGTTGATTTACCAAACACCAAGGCCAATTCCTTGCATGTGAAGTTTCTGATACAACATGGGGCTTGAAATCAACATGAATGTGCAGGATGCTGAGCATTTCCAGCAAACATGAGACATTTAACTGCATGCTAAGGGTTGAACTACAGATTACTTCATTATCAAGCATTCTACCAACTCTTTTTCATATGAGCAAATTCAATGTAAGAATCTGGTTTACACGTCAATGTACTGAAGTTAACAAATTGCTGGTTTAGTCCAACCGGCATTTGAAAGATATTTAGTTTGTCATGAAACAAAGATAAACAGCACATCTGCACATTTGAGAACTCTGAATTAGGCATTTTTGACTCCATCAACATGCTAGCACTAATTATTATGTCAATAAAATAATCTATGAATGTGACAGCGATTTATCTCAACGCTTTAAATGTACAGTTAACTAATCCAGTGCAAACTCAAGCAGCAAAATCTTGTCATATGATCTTGACAAATAGTGGTCTGAAGTCTGTGTCTAATTGAGGGAAAGAAGCCATGAAAACATTGGAGACATCCCTATTTACAGAGCCAGCTATCCCTCCGCTGAGGAGCAGCTGGTTCTGGAGCTGTTGGCTGGAGGAGCTGACTGTGGCGCTGAAGAGAACTTCAGCTGAGCTCAAACTCAGCTGTCCATGGTGCTCAAATCCTATCTCTTCACGGCCCGTCCACACAGCAGCGTGAAACAAATCTTGAAAATCTTGGAGGTGGGCGTGTCTGAAAGCTTGGGGATTTTTTGCGAGCAACGCGACCAACAACCAATCACATGAATCTCCCGCCCCCGACATACAAAGCAATAGCAATGTTAAAACGAAGTAAACTGGATATAAAATCCCCAAACAGGCGAACACCTACCAGTTTCAACCACTGTCTCTGCCACCTCCCTGCATGCCTGGTTCCCCCGGTTTGTATCCCGGTAAGTTATTAGCGACTGGTCATAAAGAACCGGGTGATTTGCTACCGTAATTTGTCGTTTGGAATATGAGGAAATGAACTATGTATGTATGTATGTATGTATGTATGTATGTATGTCTCTCCCAGCTTGCACGCGGTTTGATTGGCTAGCGGTTGTACTGTCAGATTTGCATTTATATAAACGGGATTTGATTGGCTGACGAAAGCCTTCCACTCAAGTACTAGTCATTTTATCTGATGTCACATGACCATTCCTGTAGGCTTCTAATTATGTAAGAGAAAGTAATATTAAACCAATTAAGCCAATTATATTCTAATCTACGCCCATTTCTCATGAAGTAGGCTATATGACAATTGTATGTTATAGGGTTTTGTCCTTTTTGATGTGCTCAAAGGTCTTACAAATGAATTTCCTTTATCATTTATGGATCTTGAACGACTTTTTTGTCACAATGAGTTCTTGCCTCGAAAAGCATAAATGCCCCCCCCCACCCTCTTTTTCAGGTGGAGCTCCATGACGGTGCGAATACAAACAAATGTCATGAAGTAAAACAGATAAAAAGGAAAGGGGAATCGAGGCCTCCAGTCTTCATAACATTACTGCAAGTTGCATCATGAGTACAACGCGGTGCCTTTGAATAAAGGAGAGCTCGTGGAAGAGAGGAGAGGACAACGAAGCGTGATCTTGCGTATAAATGGACATGCTGAGCTACTGTCTCATGCGCCGCTGACGGATGATCTAATACTGGTGGAGCTGGCGTGGAGAGCCGGAACACGCACGAGATAGGCAAGACACGTCATCCTCAATCTGCCTCCTCCATCCTCCTCTCTCCCCCCCATCCTCTCCTCGTGTGCGATTAGATGAATGGAGGTTGATTACCGTTTATTGAGCGACGGGTCCACTGGGACAGTTGGTTTAAGTCCCATGACACTGCTCTCTTCAATGTCTCTGTTTAAAAAAAATCGCTCGCACATCTCTATCTCGGGGGCCCTTGGGAATGATAAATGGGTTAACAGGAAACGTGCGTAAAGTGAGTTGACAAATGAAGTATTAAAGTATAATTATCTGACACGTCAAACACAGCCTGGAAATGAGCAGCCTTTCCATTTGGACATCATGTATCTGTCCTACACTGTTGGTCATTAATTGGCAAGGCTTGCTTCGGTTTGATGTAGTACGTGGGCAGAGAAATGCCACGATCCCCGGGTCCTTTCCTCCCTCCCCACTCCGCCTCTCAGCATAGCGTGAGGCTCTGGTGCCGCTCAATGGGAGGATGGGGCTATTGCTGGTGGCTGCAGCTGCACCGAGGGACGCGCCAGACCACCTCCACGCAGGCGTGTGGTATTCAAACATATTTATTGACACCGTTTAAAGTGAATGTTGTTACAGAAGGTAAGATAGATGGTCCAACCTTTCACGTTCTTTGTAAGTATGTGCAATAAGTTAGAGTCGCTTTACTGGCTCCAGGGGTAGACGAAAACGGCCAGCGAGTGGGCAATAAAAAAAACTCCCCGGACGCGAATAAAACAAGAAGCCTCCTACGAATATAGCCGCAATGAGATTTACTCCACATGAAAGTCGAGGGAGATTTGTCAGTATCATTGGGCACTCAGCTGTATGTGTGATAAACCCACAACTCACCAGAAACCATCTGGGTGGTTGATAATACGAGTTTGGTCACAAGTGGGTGACAAGTGGGAGATATTTGGTGGAAGACTTGAGGGATGACGTTTCTGGAGAATAGTAATTATCAAGCTCAAAGCACACTTATGCAAGCACACTTATGCAGCATGAAACCTGATGGGCTTTAGTTATGTTGAAAAGCTGCCAAGTTTCCACTCACTCGTGGATCATGTGCTGTATAACCAAAAGGTATGAGTGGGCGAACACGGAGCCATGACTCACTGTCAAATTCATATTGTGGCCATGGCAGTATTCTCGTCTTTTGCTAAAAATAGTGCCCATTCTGTGGTGTGGAGCGAAGACAGTGATAAAACGGTTGGATTTATTTGCCAAAGGACCTGCTCTGGGATGGCAAAAATCATTGCGGCTTTTCCCCCGAAATGCATAGGCTCTAAATAACGCCACAGGCTTTTGTTATTAATTTCCACGGAAAGAATAAAGTAAAATCCATGGATCAGTTGCTGAGCCTCTCCTTTCAGAAACACATTATGTTTTGAAGACGTGAAAGTAAATTAATAGTAGCCTAATGATAATCTGTTGAATGCCCAGCTCCGGTTGCAAGATTTCCATTTGCAATTAATCAAGTGCAGAAAACCCAGTCAGTTAATTAGGCCTGCCCCCACCACACACACACGCGCACCCAATACACAGACACCCACACAGAAAGACTGAGGGGGATCAAACTACACACAAAATGTTTTTTAAAAATCGTTTAAAATAGCTGGGAAACAGAGGGAACAACCGGGAAGAAGAACAACACACACACACACACACACACACACACACACACACACACACACACACACACACACACACACACACAC